CCCAGCCAGCCATTTTGGCTGGGGAATTCTGGGAGTTGAAGTCCACATATCTTAAAGCTGCCAAGGTTGAAAAGTACTGATTTAAGCAATAAAAGCATCTATTTCTCAGGGTTGTATATGCTAGTGCCAGGACTGGCAGGTTGGTATCTTCAAGAAACCAGAGTGCCACAACTCTCAGCCCTGGCATCCCAGCCAGGTGCAAGTGATTGGAAAGTCATAGCCCCAAACACCTGCAAGGTTCCTTCTGGGGAATGAAGAGCCAAACGAAGTTCAAAGTGTGGGGAAATTCCCGTCCTTTCTATTTCTTGATGGTATAAAGCTTCAGAGTGTTCCCTTTTCTTCTGGGGCTTGTCCTATAGCATGAAAGCGAAAAACTGAACTCCATTGTCACAGGGGATCGCTTTGATTTGGGGCGTGTGTTCAAGAAATCTTTTTTTCTGCCAGCGGGCGATACAAGTTTGTGCAAGTGTTGAATGTTGAAGCTACAGGCGGTGAGAACAAAGCCAAATTCCCCGCCACATGCTCTGTGCCTGAAGGTTGTCGTGTCTGCTGTGTTTTCCCCCTTTGATGCTCTTTTTAACAAAAAATGTTTGAAAATGGAGATATTTGCAGCAATAACCCTTATGGGACATATTTGCAGGGGGGGTGTTCTTTGGTTCCATACCCAAGGAGTCATGTTTGGGGTATGGATCCATAAGTTTGCACTCCGTCTCTGCCTGAGTATCATTCTCTGGGGCTGGAGGAAAATCCACTTCTTTTGTGTCAGTTCCTTTCAATTCAGGCGGCCTGCTTTGTATTTAAAAGATGAGCAGAGTAAAATGGCGTGGACCTGTCTAAGGAAAAGAGGGGCAGAACATTGGTCCACCTAGCCCAATATTCCCACAGTGATGAGCAGGGTCTTTCTAGGGCAGTATTTCTCAACCTTGGCAACTTGAAGATGTGTGGACTTCAACTCCCAGAGTTCCCCAGCCAGCCATGTTGAGAAACATTGTTCTAGGGTCTCTGAAACAGACTTCTTCCATCACCTGCTATTTCCTAATCCTTTTGAACTGGAAGTGCCAAAATCCTAAACTTAGGAAATTCTGCATGCAAACTTGATGTTCCATCTCAGAGCAACTGTTTTTCTGATTTATCTCTGAATGATACACCCATTACTTACACCCATCCAAACATGTTCCCAAGATTTCCTATCGGTTCTGTGTGTGAATTCCAGAGGCCATAAGCGTCAATCAGCTGCTCTGATCAGCTGTGCGGCGTGTAAATTAGCCCCGGCCGGCTCTGCCCCATCATTCGGTGGTTTTAATGTCCCCAATTATGATGGTGTTTTCTCCACCCTCCTCCTGCCACACCCATGAGGTACACCTTCGCAGATGCAAGAAATGCCAACAGCAACTATGGGATCTGCCATTCTGGAGAGAGCATGTTACGGACGCGGAAGGATATTTTGCTCTCTTAAACCACAAGATTGAGATTTTGCTCATACATTGTGCTAAGCCACGGTCTATTTAACCATGCTTTATTGAACAAGTTACTTGCCTAGGTTTGCACAACAAAGCAAGCTTTGGTTTGCTGGATACACACATCACAGAAAACCCAAACCAATAATCTTATGAATTAGCGTACAGTAAAACCTTGGTTTGTGAGCATAATTCATTCCGGAAACATGCTTGTAATCCAAAGCGCTTGTAATCCAAACACTTGTATATCAAAGCGAATTTCCCCATAAGAAATCATGGAAACTCAGATTATTCGTTCCACAACCCCAAAATATTCATATAAAAATGATTACAATACTGTAATATAATACAAAATAATAAAATACAAAATATAAAGAAAAATGAAACAAATTAACCTGCACTACCTTTGGAAACCTTCGTGGCTGGCGTGAGGGAGACGAGAGAGAGGAGGGTTATTGTGTAGGACAGTGTTGGCCAATCTTGGCCCCCTTTAAAAGAAGGGGGAGTACACTCCCCACACTCCCCCACCCCCACCCACTCCTCGGGGGGACTCGGGTGTTGGTA